TGTCACTCATATGCCGATACCCGTGTTACGAGTCACTCTTTCTACGTTGTACAACAAATTCGTGCGAATCACACGTTTACCATTATCAACGCTATGACAGCTAAAAAAAAAATGTATTACGTAGTTCAGTTCGTCGACCGAGTAATCGTTCTAAATAGGAGTTCTCAAACTGTTTTACGATTGGAAAACAAAACGAATTTATTTAGATAATTATTGATGTTTGTAAAATAATAACAAATCCAACATTATTTCTTACCGAGTATCGCGTAAATGATTATCTTTTGTTATGTTACTATCTTGTAATCATCATCCTGAATCACTGAAAAATACGTCAATTAACAGTAATCATTGTACAAAGACGTATTTTTAGTGATTACTGGACAAAAATTAGCGACTGATCCCCAATAGACTCGAGTGATATGTGTAAAAAAGTACGGGAACCACTGCTCTAGATAATTTATGACGATCGACTACGCAGACTATTATCGTGTTTTCTTCGTCCAATCACCGAATGAAATAGAGTAAAATATGGTTTACATAATTCATTTTTGCCTTACTGATTGTACTTATGTACGCAACCTATTTAAATACAAACTAGAAGCATTAAACTAGACAGAAACGAATGATAAAATTGCATTTTTTCTTTTTCAGCCACACCTCATTATTTCGTATTGATTGGATACGCTCGTCGGACGACGAATTGATTGAAATAAATATTTACGTACATTTATAATTTTTGCTAAAGGAAACATAAAAAAGTTTTATTTCTCAGACAGGTCATTGAATTGTTACAAATGATATTAATCTTTGACTGCGGTTATTTGATCTTGTTGTGACGGAAAGCAAGAATTTAACTAGGTACCTGATGATGCGTAATTTCTTTGTATTGTTGTTATCGCGAAATTCATACCTACACCTTAATCAAGTATAGTTACAATAGTAGTAATATTTAAAAGGTAATGAACGAATTAATTTAAGATTAAGAAACGGAATCGAATATAAAATGTAAAAAAAAAGAAATCTCGGATTTTTCAACACTATCGTCCCTTTTTTTTTATTACAAATTTTTAAAAAATTTCATTATAATTTACAATCTTTTAAATTACCTTAAGTTAATAATTATGTTAATATAGAATTTGACTTAAACAATAAAAAAATACTACACAAATAAAGCAAACGTATCAATAAAATAAAAATTATATATGCGGCTAAAAAAAAAAAATTTAAATTTTCCTTAATTGTATTTCTTAAATATTAGCTTCCTAATTGGTCAAGAATTTGTTTTTTAATATATTTTTGTTTCATTTTGGATGAATTAAGGGTTAGGTAAAAATGTCAGTGATATTTCATTATAGCAATAAAGGTATATAAATATTATTATTTATATAACTTTAGTGTTTTTATAACAAATTAGATTTGTAATATTGCATTTCATTTATATAATTAAGTTTTTTTTATATTTTAATTTAGTGAATCAGTAATTTTTATTTCTAAGACTAAAAAATATACAATTAATATATAGCATAACTAATAACATAAGTTATTTGTTATGAGTTCTTACACGTATAAGAAAAAATTGTGCTGAACCCAGTGGCGTAATTCGGAAAAAATATCAGGGGTTGCAAAAGTTACTCAGGATGCACAAAAGTTATAAAACAATGTTTTAATATAATCATATTATTACGAGTATATTCTATATAATTTTTATATATAAATACATGTTATTAAAAACTATAAATTTAATTGTTTTATAATTAATATATAGGCACGAACATTACTTTTATTTAAAATTTAAATCACATAATCTTTATAATTATAATATAATTACAGCCGATATTATATCTAATATTATATAATTTATTTTTATATTAAAACTTCTATGTCGTCGTATTGTTATCGATGTAATTATCGTCTCAATTTTCTCAGTTTTTTTTTTTTAACTTTTTTTATTTCATAATTATTTAAATAAATAATTACTTATTTTAATTTTTTTACTATCTAGCGATAAACCATAAATATGGATTATTCAGGGGTTGCAAAATAATACTTTTGCAACCCATATATTATATTCGGGGTCGCTAGTGTGACCCCTTGCGACCTCCCAATTACGCAACTGGCTGAACCTATACCAAACTTCTGCCTATGACCCATGATAATTGTTTAATAGTATACTATTATATAGTATAGTATGGTATATAATAAGTGTACTATTCAATGTCGTGGTCGCGGCGGCGCAGAGCTAAGTAAAAATAAGAATCCCGGGCTCGACAATGGGGACGACGAGACTACCAACTCGTATTTAACTAATGTTACTTTCCGAAAATCATGTCTGCTACCCTGTAGCCTAAACTAACGAACCAATTTACTTGAAATTCGCACCAATAGGTCGGTTTGGTGTGCAGATTTTGGATTTTGGGAAAAATTCAAATTTATCGAAAGATTTCCAACTTGAAAAATATACATAAGCCCTAGCGCAAAATCTAATTGAAATATTATTGGTTTTTCAGTGTGAAGTCACCGTACGGTCGTGCCGTTGCGCCGTTGCTACGGCAACGGTCTGAACTACCTGGCAGCCCGAACTTCTCCTCTCCGAGCTACGGGTTTGCACAACGCTGGCCCGGCCGGTTTTAGCTCTATCGATTTTGTCTGGCGTGTGTAACGAAACTTCTAGAACACCGGCGCAATAATGTTAAAAGATTTTGTCGAATGTAATTTTATCCGTTTTCCTTTGTCACCACAAAGAACAAAAGAGCAGTCTTGCGTTCCTATTCGCGTCTATACCGTTTTTTTGCCTTTAAATTACGAATATTACCATTTTATAAGGAATATATTAATATATTTGTGCGTCGGCATTAATTCGTTTGTGCGTTCATACGTTTGAAAAAAAAACGTAAAACTGCGAGAAAATACAAAGACAAAAGAGTAGCTTTACTTAAATGTAGCATTTCATCTACGAAAAATCGTAAATCAAAGTGTAATATGGTTGTAAATAAAACAGCGTATTGAAAAAAAAACAGAATAAATTGTCTAAAAACAATTGAGCTCTATAAAAAACATAATAAATTATTTGTAAAGGATCAACAGAAGATTGGACCAACAAACTTTTGTGGTCTTTAATATGTTTCCTTTAAAACGCAAGAACTACTGTAGAAAAATGTATAAAGTAGGTTTTGCTTTGTTGAAAAAGTAATATTTAAAAAACCGGTGGCCACGTAGAGCTAGACGTGTATACAATTGTTCTCAAACAATAATCATAAATTTAATGCTAGACTAGCGTTTCCCAACCTGGGGTTAATTACCCACAAAGGGATAAAATATTGTTTTTGTGAGGTAAATATTGGACTTCTTTTATGTTCTTTTTATGTATAACCTTTTAGTATAATTATTATTATTGTGTTATTATATTCAAATTATATTTATAGAGTGTACT